ACGGTGACTTGACTTGTTTGGTTCATTGAGTTATACTCATTCTTCATTCTTTATTGTCACCATGTTACAGGATAGTTTCTTTGCTAGCTTTGCTCTCGGTTGGCTCATCACAAACGGTGCTGGACTTGCCTCCTACCCAATTGACACAGTTCGCAGAAGAATGATGATGACATCTGGTGAAGCCGTGAAGTACAAGAGCTCTATGGATGCATTTGCTCAAATCCTGAAGAATGAGGGTGCAAAATCATTGTTCAAGGGTGCTGGTGCCAACATTCTTCGTGCAGTTGCGGGTGCTGGTGTGCTCGCCGGTTATGACAAACTTCAGGTGCTCGTTTTCGGAAAGAAATATGGCTCTGGTGGGGCTTAAGTAACACCAAGTACCTTGTTTCTTTAGCAATAGATGGTGATGAAAATCTTTTTGTCGTTTAGTTTCGAGAATTTGTCAAATGCAAATTTTTACTCTTTTCAAATAATTCAATTTAGGGAGTTTTGATCCCAAACATTGTTTCCCTTTGAAGGGTTTTTTGAAATTCTGTAACCTTGTCATTGAAGAGCTTTAAAATTTATGATGACAGATTTTATGTTATAGCCTTCACGATAATTTTTCCATATATAATCTCTTTATGTGTTTGTCAGAATCTTTACCATCTCCATTTTTAACTTTCCCGAGATGTTATCACATACGGGAAAAGATAAAATAGTTATATCATTTGCCATTTGGCTTGGTGAAGTTCAATGAGAATATAGTGGTATTATGATTGAACACGTTCCCGTAATTCCTTTTTGTTTGTATAAATCTTCTTCATCCAGGTCATTTCTACTGAAACTTTACCATCGACAAATATCTCCACCTCCTCCCGACCTCTGCCATTCTTGCCAGCCTCTTCAACAGCAGCAGCTCGAGAACCTCTAATTTGAGTTCTCTCTTGTCCTTTAACCGGATAGGAAACCCTTGTGGCTGCTTTGGCTTTCTCTTCATTTTCTTTGATTTCTCTTTACTCTTCACCTCGTATGCTTCAGCGTCTCTCACAGTAGGACCACACTCGACATCAATTGCGTTCAATCCGGTAGTGGTTTCAACTGCTTCTCGTAAGCTTCTGCCTTGGTCTGTATAAGCTGCTGTCCTAATAAGCTCAATTAAAGCATCAATACTTCCATAGCCTTTCACCAGCTCCTCTTAGAGACTAGCAGCTGCTTCCTTTTGTGCTAGAGCTTGAAAGGCATGCCCAGATTACCGAATCTAATATGGCATCAGTACCATCAAGATCCAGAGCATGTTCTTTGAGAGATAAAAAAGGTGGCAATTGATACACGCTTGTGATCGATTTTGGGTATATTTTGGACAGTGATTTGGCTGCTATCCGAGGATGGTCCTTAGCTGCTGCAACCTGCGCCCGCACAATCTTTGGAACTTCTTTGCAAACTGCCCCAATAAATGATGGCTTTATTTGCTTCATCGTATACTGCAGCTTGAAGAAGCAGAATTATTAAGGCTCAAAATGAATCGGTTAAATAATGAAAATGGTTGGAAATGGATTAGAATATCATGGAATGTTCTAGCATCGATTTGACTGACAAGTCCCATCTTTTTTGACTAGTTTTTTTTTTTTTT